ACAATGGCAAAACAACCACAAAAAATGCTCACCAGTAAGAAATTTCGCTCGAATGAAGAGGTTATGTCTGAAACTGAGGGCTATTTTAAGGCAAAAGATGAATCGTTCCACAAAGGTGGCAATGAAATGTTAGAGCGGCACTGGAGTGATTATGTGGCTCTTGATGGAGATTACGTTGATTGATAAATCCAATTTTGAACAAACAAAAACGGGTTATCTTTCTCAGGCCCGGGACTTTTCGGCCCATGTGATATACCAGGTGATTTTTGGCACCAAAAAATATAAAATTGTGACGACGGTTCCTCAGAGATAAATAGTCGAATTAGAAATCTGTAAACAGCATTTTGTATAAAAGTGGAAATCGGAAAACGTTTTTTTTTTTGTTTTTCGATAACTTGAATAACATCAGAAAAATATTAAAAGGAAATTGGCGAATTTCACTTTATGTCTCGGAAACTCAAGCAGCGAAGTAATGAATCATTTTCAAGTGGCTGTTCCATAGGCGTATATAATTATAATTGAGTCGGTTAAAATGTGAAAAATGTAGTATTTATTTTAAACATTCAATGTTGTACATGACATAGTTTTATAGTTGAATGAATATCTGTTTGAAAAAAATATGTTTTTCCGTTAATCAGCTCGCCCCTATACGTACGACAATTCTCAGAAGTTGAGAAACTTGTGCGAGCTAAGGACTAATGAGGTCTTACCTTTTAACGTGTGATTCGTATCACAATGAATAAGCCTAAAATGAACTTGAAGTTATTGCAAAATTAAATTTTCCAAAAAGTGAAGGTTTTCGATTTGTTTCTACCAACTAACGGTAAAGCTAGCAGAATCTACTATTAAAAACAAACACTTCGAAAGTTGGTATGGTGGTCATAGAAGCCTGAAATGAGTCTATAATTATAATCTTATCCATAGTTGTGTTACACTGTTTGGAACCTTTGGTGAAGTAGTGAATATTACTGGAGTTTCATCCCAACACGAAACCGTTATTTTTAACACCTCAACACGGGTTTCAATCACCAAGTGATCATATTCAAAAATAAGATTTAACTAGCAGAACCCACGGACTTGAAGAAAACAACGCGTAAAAAATCAACGATAGGGGGCAATAGGAGCCTAAAATTATGACATAACCTGATTCAACAACATGTTTTTTTCTATGGTTTGGTTTTGCCAGCTTTTCGCTATTGCTTATATTTTCACACATTCTTCTTCTTACATGAAAACTAGTTCAGTTCATGTCAACATACTTTGTCATTTCTTCGTAAGTGGCTCTGCAGTGGCAACAATGTGACATAACACCCTCTTCAAGTTACTTATTTTTGAGTAACTAGTCTGCTTATATATCCATCTGTAAGAATTCTTATTGCGGTAGACCAAGTTTTCTTTCTCTGTTGGGCATTTCATCTCCTTGTTCCTTTTGGATTTATACAGCCATACAACAGCGACTCCTTGGAACTTTTGGCTTTTCAGATCAGTCTACTTTTCCAATGACTATTACAGCTTCTACACTTTCAACATCGCTGATCACATTATGTATATTTCTTGCTATTGTCACTGTAGAGCTTTGTCTTCTTCCTGAGGTTATATGTACCTCCTCTTGGACGTTGCCTATCTGTGCCTTCTGTACCCTCTCAGAAAGGTTTGAACCATTCTGAGAGGGTTTTTCTGGGACAGAAACGTATTATAAGAAGCATGAGGGAACTCATTATTTGTATTCTTGTAAGCCGCTTCAAGGAATAGCAAGTATTACGGTTAACTAGTTCAGTGATTCAATGAAGTCGCCCTGGAGNGAAAGGAAAAAACCAAGAATCCAATATATTGCTTTGCTGACAACAGCACAGTTGTCTCGTCATTCAACTTGGATTCCAGGACATCGGCTACAGAGGCACATCTTCACCAGCAGAAGGAGGTTGCATGTCTCAATGAGGATCTAGAAGTGATTTTAAATTGGGGTGAAAGTAACCAGGTTCAATTCAATTTCACAAAAACCCAGGCATCGATTTTCTCCAAGAAGATAAATGTCTCCGAACCGGATATAATAATGTCAGGTCAGACAATTCCGCTTTCTGCTTTGATAAGTTTGTTGGGGTTTAAAATGAAAACCAATATGTCTTGGCACAATAATGTTGCTGGAATTGCAAAGGCTGCTTCAAACCTCCTTCGGAATATTTTTCTCATGAGCTCTGCCTCCAAACATACTCTGAAGTTGCTGGATTTACCTCTCTGCTATAGATACTTGCACGGAAGGTGTTCAAGTTTCTTGGCACATTTAATTCCACCACATTTAATTCACTGTTTAAGAAATCTTTCATCTGGGGAACTGCCTTTTTTCAAATAGGTTTAATCTCCAGCGATTCAAATCCAATGTGAATCGCTACTTTCGAACAGGCACAGCCGGTCAGTTTGACGTAGGTGCTTTGTTCACTCACTCAAATCGACCGCCGTGTTAGTCGGTGGTTCAAGCCGCAGGCTAAACTATCGATTTTCACTTGCTATCGTCCAACCCGTGTTAGTAATCACACGTTAAAAGGTAAGACCTCGTTAATC